TGAATATCCAATAGTTTCCATTGAATGAATAATGGATCCGGATCCTAAAAATAATAATGCTTTGGAATAAGCATGAGTAATCAAATGAAATAAAGCGCTTCGATAAGACCCCATACCTAGAAGCTAACATCATATAACCCAATTGAGACATTGTGGAATAGGCTAAAGCTCTCTTAATGTCTTTTGAGCAAGCGCTAAAGTAGCTCCTAATAATACTGTTATTATTCCTATAACCGAGATCAAATACATTATGTAAGGTATAACTCTGAAAAGAGGAAGAAGCCGGGCTACAAGAAAAATTCCCGCCGCTACCATAGTAGCAGCATGTATAAGAGCCGAAATAGGAGTAGGTCCCTCCATGGCATCAGGTAACCATACATGAAGGGGGAAATTGGGCGGATTTAGCAACTGCACCGGCAAATAGGAACAGCGCATAAAGTAACAAATAAAAAATTGACCTCATTATTATAAATCAAGTTATTGAATATTTCGAATAAATCCCTAAATTCGAAAGTTCCCGTTATCAATAAAAACCTAAAATTCCTAATAATAAAACAAAATCCCCTACACGATTAGTTACAAGCGCTTTTTGACAAGCATTTTGCCGCAACAGGTCGTGTAGGCAAAATCCTATTAATAGATAGGAACACAACCCAACCAATTCCCAAAAATATAAATTTGTATCAAATTCAGACAGTAACTAATCCCAACATGGAAGTACTGAAAAAACTCATATAAGCAAAAATCTCAAATAGCCTTGATCATGAGCCATATAATTATCACTATAAATAAGAACCATAATTCCAACAGTAGTGATTAATATTGACATAATAGAAGTAAGTGGGTCAATCAAGTATCCGAAGTCTAAAGAAAAATCATTAGGATGATCCAAGACCATACATATTGATAAAAAGAACTGCTATTTATTTGCTGAATAGACAGGTAGATTGAAAAATCATGACTATGCTTAACACTAAAACACTCTGAAAAGCCCACATACGGCGAAAACTTTTTGTTGCCGTTGGAAAAGAATAAGTCCCGCCCCTATTAACATAGGGACTGGAAGTGGAATGAAAGAATTTATGATCCACGCATATTCATATGTCTGTTCCATAAAAAAGTTTTGAATTCTTAATTAATTGTTTCCGATTCACGGATGTTACCTCTTTTGAAAGGAGTCAATAAAAAGTCAAAATATGGACTAACTTAAACTAATTTAAAACTTAAATCGAATTTTCTATTCTTACTTATTCTGAATCTTTGCTAAATACTTCAACAATTGAAATTAAGAAGTTACAATTGGTCAAATCATATGAAAGGGAGTTAATTACTATGCTCCTTTGAAATAGGCCTATTTTTTCTCCAAGTTTGACCAGTGAATCGAACGGGATTCAAGTTTTTAATTTCCTGAAGTAAAAATGCGGTTCTTAGCTTTAAACCTTTCGAGGTATTTTATTGGATGTAAATGAAATGTGGAACCGTAAATAGAAATCAAATAGAAATCGAGTCTTTTTTTGGATTCTTTATTTTATTTTGATTTTGATTAAGTTCAACTAATTTCATTTCGTCATTTATACAGAACAGCCGATTAGCAAATTCTATAGGTATAGATTTTCTGAATCAAAAGAATGTGAAATAACGATACCAGTCAATGAGAACCTTTCTCTTTTTTACGATTATGAATGTTTTCTTGAATACAAAAACTTGAAAAAACACATATTGGCCTTCTTTTTTTATTTCCAGTATTATGCAATTTTCACATATCTTTTTTCCTATATCTGATAATGTTTTATTTGAGGAGGACACTATTAGCTCGAAAATAAATAGTAGTAAAAAGAATTCATTTTGAACAATAGATGTCTTTCACATCCAGTTATAACAATGAGTAATTTTTAATTTCTAAATGGCAGTTCAAAAAAACGCACTTCGACATCAAAAAAAGCGTATTCGTAAAAATATTTGGAAAGGGAAGGGATATTGGGAAGCATTAAAGGCTTTTCGTTAGCGAAATCTCTTTCTACAGAATTCAAAAGTTTTTGTACATGAAACAAAAATAAATAAGTAATAAAGGTTAGAATAATTTGAATCAACCTTGGTAAGAATTATTCAATTAGATAATAATTGAATAATTTAACGATTTACCTTTCATATTTGATATTGATTCGCTCACCAATCAATACGTAATGGAACTCTATTCGCTTTTCTGATTGATATAGAAAATAATAGAATTAGGAAATCCTCTATTTACTATTTACTGAATAATAACTTTTTGTTGACAAAAAGAATAAAGATCATTTCTATTCCAAGGTGGGGGAGTTTATTTTCCCCATCGACCTATTTTCAGAATTCAATTAAAATAAAAAAAAAAAAAAATTCTAAATTTCCATTCTATTTCCATAGAAGAACGTATATAAAAATCTTTAGTGAAAGTTAAGAACTCATTGAACCTAGTGATTCTATTTGAAACCTTTTTGTTTTTGTTTGTCTAACTTTCTAACTT